CATTTGTTTCAAGGGAAATGGATGGAAAAAGCTGGAGATTGTATTAAAGACTATTTGAAAGAAGTGATCGTAAAAGGATAGCAATATATACCTTGGTAACCGTTGTGAAACAGACTATTTGTACATGAGGAGATCTCTTCCCATACAAAAAGAACTGAATCAAAGTTTTGAATGTTTGTTATTATAATGATAGTTCTTGTTTCTTGTTGTTGTTGTTATGAATCATCAAAAAGAAAAAGAAAAACAAAAATTTTGTTGTTTTTTTTCAGCAAATACAAAAAAAAAGTGTTGTTATAAATACAAAGGTCTTAAGGTCTAGAGTCTCAGTCTTAGATTGAACATGGGCGAGAGCAGTGGGTTTTACATGACTTTACCCAGTGATGGGTATATGTCCTCCTTTGCTAACAATACGACTGCTCAATTTAAAACCTTATTACCACAAACAGTGGATTTAACCGACGGAGAATGGGAAGTGGCTTTAACAGAAATGATGTATCCCAATTCATTGAAAAACATTACAGAAAAGGAGGCTTATTTTGACATCCTGATCCCTCAGTCTTTTGCTCCCAGAACAAAGATATCAAAGACCCAAATGTTTTTAAATGGCAGATTTAAAATGAAAACCTTAGACCCAATGCCATTACGTCAATGTCCTGTACTGATAGATTGGGCCCATAATAAACGGCCTTCACTCATTGATCTAGATGGCAAGATGGAAATTAGACGAATTCACTTCAGACCCGGGCCTTACGTTCACCCCAAGGCTTTAACAGAGGAAATAAGTCTAGGACTAGAGAGATCATTGAAAAAAATATGGAAAACCCTTGGTCATCCAGATGAAGAAAATTCTATGAAATTAGTATATTACGAGACCTATGATCGAGTGATGTATCAAATTAATGGAAAAAATGTATTACTCCCTTATGCATTCGTTTCCCCACATCCCTAGCTTATAAGCTAGGCATGGACAGTCAGAAAGTCATTCTTCAGAACGATACAGAAAACATGACCAAATGGATCAACATTAGTTACTTGGGAAACAGTACTGTGGATTTATATGAAAATCTGAAATCCATGTATGTCTATTGTGACTTGATTCAACCCCAGACGGTAGGAAAAAATGCCTTGAAACTATTAAGAGTGGTATTTTGTACATTTCATTTGGAGGATTCAAAACAAGCCAAATGGGAACCCATTCGAGCGGAATATTTGAAACTAAGTAAAAAACATTTCGATACCATTGAGATTCACATCATGACTCCTTTAGGGACTCCCATGCCCTTTGTAAGTGGTAAATCAGTGGTGAAACTTCATTTCAGAAAAGTATACTGAGATGAATGTACCGTTGTTTTGTTCCATCTTATTGGGCGTGGTGGCTTGTTTGGTATGCTGTCTGTATTGTATTCAACCCTAAAAAAGGGTATAAAAGGAAGTCCCCCGAGGACAGAAAGGTCAGTTGAACAAGAGACATGAACCATGCAGTATCATCCCGGATTACTGAGACAAAGAGGACACGGACAGTTTGTCTATCATAAAGGGTTATTACGTCAAAAAGGAGCGGTTTATTTAGGATCCCTATTTGAAAAACAGCAGCTCCTTTAGTCAGCAATCTAGTAGGAGGATTTTAACTCACAGAAACCTCAACAGAAACCACCACCACCACCACCAGGCTATTATCCACCCCAAAACTATCAAAGAGGGGAGGATTTTCTACTGATTTACTGAAAACCGGACAAAACACGCCTTGACTGCTGCTGCTCACAACGGGATTAGACGTAATGGAGATAAATAAGAGATATTTAAAAGACGCAGTCAAAACTGTACAAGCTCTAAAAAAGGAGGTTTTGAGGAATGGTGAAAATATTTGCTTTCAATCGAGGACGAGTTTTTTACCCTTTAGAAAGACAGCAGAAAGGACTTGAAACAGGTTTTGTTTTCCTTCAGAGATATAGAAGAAGAAAATTAAGACCATGAGGAACAGAACAGAAGTCCTGTTAGCCCGAGGAGGTCCTAAGAGAGAAAGGAAAAAACAAGGAGGAATTCCTAAAAGAAAACGTCCTTTAGATGTGTTTGACTGAGAGAGAGAGAGTATAAATAAGACAGTCCAGGGAACAGAAGGTTCATTTGTGAAAACTGAATCCTAGTAGACACATCATGTTACAGCCCGATTCCTGTGCGTGTGGGATGAATAATTAACAATTGTTTGAAGTCCCTCCGACTAATATTGCTTTAGAAGACTCGAAATGGGAAGAATATTACCCCATTTCCAGTACTTTAGATTCGGACACCGCTCCCATCGAATTTGAAATCAAAGGACAAGGAGATCACTATCTGGATTTATCTCAAACTTATGTTCAAATGGTATGTAAATTTACCAAAGACGATGGAAGTAATCTGACTGGGGCAAACAGCACTTCCAGTCCAGTGAATAATATCTTACATTCCATGTTTACGGAAATCGATGTCAGTCTGAATGGAAAAATAGTGACTCCGGGGACGGATACCTATCCTTACAAAGCTTATCTGGAGAAATTATTGTCTTACCGACCCAGAACTTTAAAGACACAGACGAGGGCCTGTAGTCTGTGGGAAAAAGATACGGCAGGACACATGGACGAAGTGGGGTTAGATGACCTTGGTGTAGCTCAAAATAAAACCTTTGATGTAACTCCGGGTGTAAATGGTGGTGCCGACACGGTGACCATTAACGAACCCATCCTCACAGCGTTACCGGCCAATTCTAAAAACGAAGGATTCCGAAAAAGACACCAAGCTATTGCTGACAGTAAGAAAATCAGTTTGCTGGATACTTTACATTTGGATTTGTTTCAACAAGATCGATTTCTACCTAATGGAGTGGACGTCCGTTTGCGATTTAATCGAGCTAGACCTGCTTTCTACATGATGATCAAAGGAGGAAGTACAGGAAAAGTGAAAATATTGAGTATGATCTTGTGGGTGAGAAAAGTCAAACCCACAGCAGTCATGATGAATACCATTAATCAGAGTTTGAATACCCACAGAGCCAAATATCCCTTGAGAAGAGTGGAAGTGAAAACCTTTACCATCCCCACAGGAACTCAGTCTAAGATTACGGATCATCTGTTTCAAGGTTTGATGCCTAAACGTCTCATTTTAGGCTTTGTGGAGAATGCGGCCTTTAACGGAGATAAAACTAAAAATCCCTTTCATTTCCAAAACTTTGGGATCAAGAAATTAGATGTCAGTATCAACGGAGAGACCATGAGTACTCGTTGTTTTGAGCCTAATTTCAACGACGATTTATATCTGAGATCTTATCTCAGTCTGTATCAAGCTCTGGGAAAATTAGGAGAAGATTGGGCTCCGGACATTACCCTAGAAGAGTATAAAAGCGGCTACACTCTATGGGGCTGGGATTTCACCAAAGATCAAGAAGTGCAATCGGATAAATTCCACATCATAGAAACAGGAAATCTGAGAGTAGAAGTGCAGTTTACCAACAATACGGCTACCACCATCAATTGTGTGGTGTATGTAGAATTCGATAACCTATTAGAAATTAACAAACAGAGAGAAGTGAGCATTGATTACTAAAAATGGATACGGGACAATTGAGAGAAGTCTTATCCAGAGAATTCAAGAGTTCTTTTGGAGGGGTGTATCCTGTAGATTTATTACCGGATCAATTAAGACCTGGAGAAAAAGCTGTGGTGGTCAATACGGATCCTCAAGATCGACCTGGAGAACATTGGGTGTGTCTATATGTGAGCAATCCCGTGGTGGAATATTTCGATTCTTATGGATTTCCTCCCTTACAAAAAGAAATTCAAGATTTTATCCAGCGTCATGCTCAACAATGGATTTATAATCCGTATCGCTATCAAGACTGGAATACCGATGTGTGTGGACAATATTGCGTGTATTATTTACATCAAAGAGACAAGAAAAGAAAGAAAACCGACGAGTGGCTATTCCCCTTTGACCAGAGTACGGCTTTACAAAGGGACAGATACGTAGCGAATTGGTTTAAAAACACTTATCATAAATTACCTTGGACAAAAGTGTCAATGTTTTTATCAAAATGTATTGTATTGTTTGCCATTGTTTTGTTGTTTGTTGTTAATTGTTTGTTGTTAAAACTTATAGACTGTCTAGACTGCTAATAATTTTGAATTTTCAGAAAAAAAATCTGTGTTTTATTTTTGTGGGGTTTGTGTTTTCAGAAAATTTTTAACCCTTTTAGGCTGAAACACAAGACAAAAAATGTCTAGTCATTATAATAGATTTACCGGAAGAATTTACCTAAGCTCAAAAAATTTTGAAATAGTAATTTACATTTGTACAACAACACACCAACAACTCTATTTACAATACAGATTTGAAAAGAATGTTTTTACCATTTTTTCCATGATCCTTTAGGTTTTTTGACATCTTTTTATATCTATTCTGCCATCAATTGAAGAAAAAAGATGTTTCCCTAAAAACTGATTCAAAATGGGAATAACCATTTTCAAAAATACGGAACAGAGAAATATTATGTAAATAAACAACAACACAATCATCTTACAATTCCTCTATTTCTGACACACATCAGTATGTTTTGTCAAGGAGGTGACTATGACGGATTATAAATTTATGATTGTTTTTATGACGCTGGATAATTCGCTTGAATTTCTTCACCTTTGTAAAGCATACTTTCCAATTCTGAAATCCATTGGTTTTCTTTGAAATATTCCTCCAGGGATGAAATAATACAAAATGTTCTCCATGGGTATTCGATCTTGATTTAGGATCCGTATAAATCCATTTGACCAACGACAGAGATAAAATCTTGAATTTCTTTTTCTCCAGGTCTGTAATTGATCCGGTAATAAATCTACAGGATACACACTCTCAAAAGAACTCTTCTTAATTGATCCGGTAATTTTTAGCACACCTCTTTTCTTGTCTCTTTGATGTAAAGAACTCTTGAATTGTCTCGGATAAGACTTCTCTCAATTGTCCCGTATCCATTTTTTTTAGTAATCAATGCTCACTTCTCTCTGTTTGTTAATTTCTAATAAGTTATCGAATTCTGCATACACCACACAATTGATGGTGTTAACCGTATTGTTGGTAAACTGCACTTCTACTCTCAGATTTCCTGTTTCTATGATGTGGAATTTATCCGATTGCGCTTCTTGATCTTTAGTGAAATCCCAGCCCCATAGAGTGTAGCCGCTTTTATACTCTTCTAGGGTGATGTCCGGAGCCCAATCTTCTCCTAATTTTCCCAGAGCTTGATACAGACTGAGATATGATCTCAGATATAAATCGTCGTTGAAATTAGGCTCAAAACAACGAGTACTCATGGTCTCTCCGTTGATACTGACATCTAATTTCTTGATCCCAAAGTTTTGGAAATGAAAGGGATTTTTAGTTTTATCTCCGTTAAAGGCCGCATTCTCCACAAAGCCTAAAATGAGACGTTTAGGCATCTGACCTTGAAACAGATGATCCGTAATCTTAGACTGAGTTCCTGTGGGGATGGTAAAGGTTTTCACTTCCACTCTTCTCAAGGGATATTTGGCTCTGTGGGTATTCAAACTCTGATTAATGGTATTCATCATGACTGCTGTGGGTTTGACTTTTCTCACCCACAAGATCATACTCAATATTTTCACTTTTCCTGTACTTCCTCCTTTGATCATCATGTAGAAAGCAGGTCTAGCTCGATTAAATCGCAAACGGACGTCCACTCCATTAGGTAGAAATCGATCTTGTTGAAACAAATCCAAATGTAAAGTATCCAGCAAACTGATTTTCTTACTGTCAGCAATAGCTTGGTGTCTTTTTCGGAATCCTTCGTTTTTAGAATTGGCCGGTAACGCTGTGAGGATGGGTTGGTTAATGGTCACCGTGTCGGCCCCACCATCTTGACCCTGAGTTACATCAAAGGTTTTATTTTGAGCTACACCAAGAGCCTCTATCCCCACTTCGTCCATATGTCCTGCCGTATCTTTTTCCCACAGACTACAGGCCCTCGTCTGTGTCTTTAAAGTTCTGGGTCGGTAAGACAATAATTTCTCCAGATAAGCTTTGTAAGGATAGGTATCCGTCCCCGGAGTCACTATTTTTCCATTCAGACTGACATCGATTTCCGTAAACATGGAATGTAAGATATTATTCACTGGACTGGAAGTGCTGTTCGCCCCAGTCAGATTACTTCCATCGTCTTTGGTAAATTTACATACCATTTGAACATAAGTTTGAGATAAATCCAGATAGTGATCTCCTTGTCCTTTAATTTCAAATTCGATGGGAGCGGTGTCCGAATCTAAAGTACTGGAAATGGGGTAATATTCTTCCCATTTCGAGTCTTCTAAAGCAATATTAGTCGGAGGGACTTGAAACAATTGTAAATTGTTCATCCCACACGCACAGGAATCGGGCTGTAACATGATGTGTCTACTAGGATTCAGTTTTCACAAATGAACCTTCTGTTCACTGGACTGTCCTATTTATACTCTCTCCCCCAGTCAAACACATCTAAAGGACGTTTTCTTTTAGTAATTCCTCCTTGTTTTTTTCCTTTTTCTCTTAGGACCCCCTCGGGCTAACAGGGGTCTTTTTTCTCTTCTGTCTGCTTTCTTCTTTTTCTTCTTCTTCTTCTTCTTTCTAAAGGGTAAAGAGACTCCTCGATTGAAAGCAAATAGACCTGTATTTTTGGCCGCATTGAGTCCGTGGGTTAAAAGAGCAAAAAATCCTCGGCCTTCTGTCGTCTTTTTTTCTTTTGTTTTTTCCCACCACATCCCTGCCTATCTTTTCACTCCGGCCATGAGGGCTTGTTGTTTCCCATGTTTGAGTAAATCTTTGACAAATCCTCGACCTTTTTGTAACCCCATGGCTAACTTTAAAGATCTCTTATTTTTGAGAGTCAAACCTGAGTCTAGCCCGGTAGGGGTATGTTAGGGACTGCTTTTCGAGAGGAATCAGTAAAAAATTTCCTCCTTTTTGAGGTTTCATGTGAGTTTTTAAAATAGCCTACCCAATTTGAGTAATTGGTAGCTGGAGTTCCCGGTGAAAGATTATCCAAGGGAAGGGCTCCTACTTTAAATAGAGATGATAGAACCTACTGTGCCTTTTTGACGTAATAAACCTTTATGATAAGTCCAACTGTGTCCTCTTTGTCTCAGTAATCCGGGATGATACTGCATGGTTCATGTCTCTTGTTCAACTGACCTTTATATCCTCGGGGGACTTCCTTTTATACCCTTTTTTAGGGCTGAATACAATACAGACAGCAGACCAGACAAGCCACCACGCCCAATAAGATGGAACACAATAACGGTACATTCATCTCAGTATACTTTTCTGAAATGAAGTTTCACCACTGATTTACCACTTACAAAGGGCATGGGAGTCCCTAAAGGAGTCATGATGTGAATCTCAATGGTATCGAAATGTTTTTTACTTAGTTTCAAATATTCCGCTCGAATGGGTTCCCATTTGGCTTGTTTTGAATCCTCCAAATGAAATGTACAAGGCACCACTCTTAAGAGTTTCAAGGCATTGGAGCCTACCGTCTGGGGTTGAATCAAGTCACAATAGACATACATGGATTTCAGATTTTCATATAAATCCACAGTATTGTTTCCCAAGTAACTAATGTTGATCCATTTGGTCATGTTTTCTGTATCGTTCTGAAGAATGACTTTCTGACTGTCCATGCCTAGCTTATAAGCTAGGGATGTGGGGAAACGAATGCATAAGGGAGTGAGCATTTTTTCATTAATTTGATACATCACTCGATCATAGGTCTCGTAATATACTAATTTCATAGAATTTTCTTCATCTGGATGACCAAGGGTTTTCCATATTTTTTCAATGATCTCTCTAGTCCTAGACTTATTTCCTCTGTTAAAGCCTTGGGGTGAGTGTAAGGCCCGGGTCTGAAGTGAATTCGTCTAATTTCCATCTTGCTATCTAGTTCAATGAGTTGAGGCCGTTTAGTATGGGCCCAATCGAGCAGTACAGGACATTGACGTAATGGCATTGGGTCTAAGGTTTTCATTTTAAATCTGCCATAAACATCGGGGTCTTTGATATGGCGAGCAAAAGACTGAGGAACCAGGATGTCAAAATAAGCCTCCTTTTCTGTAATGTTTTTCAATGAATTGGGATACATCATTTCTGTTAAAGCCACTTCCCATTCTCCGTCGGTTAAATCCACTGTTTGTGGTAATAAGGTTTTAAATTGAGCGGTCGTATTGCTAGAAAAAGAGGCCATAGACCCATCACTGGGTAAAGTCATGTAAAACCCACTGCTCTCGGCCATGTTCAATCTAAGACTGAGACTCTAGACCTTAAGACCTTTGTATTTATAACAACACTTCTTTTTTTTTGTATATAGGGAAAAAATAACAACACTAGAATTTTTGTTTTTCTTTTTATTTTATTGATTCATAACAATAACAACAAGAAACAAGAAAATCATTATAATAACAAACATTCAAAACTTTTCTTCAGTTCTTTTTGTATGGGAAAAGGTCTCCTCATGTACAAATAGTCTGTTTCACAACGGGTACCACAGGCATTGAATCCTTTTAGGATCACTTCTTTCAAATAGTCTTTAACAATCTCCAGCTTTTTCCATCCATTTTCCTTGAAACAAGTGGTTCTCGGTCCCTCTCTTCGGTGAGCCAAGACATAATTGACTTTCCATTTGAATTCCCATACTTGGGGTCTGGGTCCTAATAAGACCATGTGTTTGCTTCTTTGGCGGTCCGGTAGCTTGAATCTCTTATACAGGTAGATTTCATTGAGTCCTGTTTGTCCTGGATTTTGATCAAAGAAATCTTGAATACATGACTCTTTGTTTTTCATCCATTCTCCCTTTAAACTAGTACTTTTCTACTATTTTCCAACGATACTCTGAGCTTAAAAAATCCAATATGTGTGCTCTGTCCCTCACTCAGATCAGAAATGATCCTCTTGGGGTTTGGTTATCTCCTAATATATAGAGGGTGTATCTATTTTTAGATTCCGGGATTTTTACTGGGTGAATTGGTCTTCTTGGTGGTAGGGGTTTGATGCATCATGGTAGGACTAGGCATGATGTAACCCACCGAAGAACTCACACAGATCATCCAATATTCTCGATTAGAATCGTGTAAAGCTAACATGACCACACTGGTGATGATGAGGGAAATACAGATGAATAATTGTGCAAAATACACAATTTCTTCTCGAGGATATTCTCTCCACAAAATTTCCAATGAGATGTTATTTGATGAGATCCGTTTGGGGAATCCATGAATCGAAACTTGGGGGATATCCTTTCCACCGGACTTTGACTTCTTGAATGATTTTCTTCCCGACTCGTCGCTTTTTATACCCCAAGATTTACTCCACTTCGTACACGTCGTATTTTTTAATGATCTGTTGTAATTCTTTCTGAAAAAGTCCCTTCGAATTCCTCCTGGTTATAATCTTGTACTCGATACACGTAAGGATACCGACCGGGAACTCGTTGAGCAATGGTAAATATTTCCGTGGTCCAGTTCGGTAAATATCCTTTTTCAAAAGTGCGTTTGGCTTTACTGATGCGCACTTTATCTCCTGTTTTAAATTTGGGGGGTTTTTTGGTTTTAGGTGATGATTCTTCCCCATATAAAGTTTTCCAGACTTTTAACACATTCGAGGGCTTCACTTGAGCTGGGGCTCTTTGGATACTGCGATGATAGGTATGATTGTAAGCATACACTAAATCCGGTAAGACCTCTAAATACCGTCTGGTTTTATTCCGAGTGAAATACCGCCACATGCGTGCTTTGAGGGTTCTCTGAAATCGTTCCACGATACTGGCTTTGGTGTCCGTATTGCGAGTGGTAAAGAAATGAATGGATTTAAACGCCTGTAAGAATTCTCGATTGGTAAATTCTTTGCCTTGATCCGATTGAATGCGGACGGGACGTCGACCGTCTTGTCGGAAAATCTCTTGTAATCCTCGAATCATTTCTTTCTCCGTTTTCTGTTTTAAAGGCACCACCCAAGCATATTTAGATAAGACGTCAATGGCACACAATAAAAAGGTATAGCCGTCATTATGTTTCTTTAAACTGGACACATCGGCTAAATCTAATTGCCATTGTTCGTCTATATCCGTCACTCTGGTCTGTTGTCTCCGGAATTTTCGATGAATGGGTTTATGTAAGGTATAGGTATCTTGCTCTTTTAACCATTCTCGTATGGTGTTCAAAGAAATCTTATGTCCCAGACTTTTGACCTGACGATACAAAGTCTGTATGCCTCCATACCCTCTCTTGGGATCGTAATAAATCTCTGTTAAAATGTCTTCTACTTCCTTCTTCTTCTTCTTCTTCTTCATGTCTTAGGCAAATAAGCCAATTTTCTGAAAAGTCGATTTGTTGTTTTCTCTTTTGAAATAGATCTGCTCTGGCTTTCTTTTTCTTCTGGAGGGCCTCCTCTAACTTTAAAATAGGGGAAGGCTTGGATTTTACAGATCGTCTAATAGGGGTCAAAAAAGATGAAGCATCATGAAATCCGCTCTCTTCGTCCTCGTCACTCAAAGCCCCTTTAGGAGTACTGATTTTTCCTGGTTTCTGCATGGCTTTTATAAGGTTTTGATTTTGCACAAGTCCATGGGAGCATGGGTCTCTTTTAAAGCTTGAGCAAATTCATCAAATCCTTTAGGCACCGGATGATTTTTCAGAGGTTCTAGATCTCATGTTTTCAGCCATTAAATCCACAATGTTAGAATCGGGCACTTTTTGACCTCGATAACTGATTTCTCCGTCTTTATTCCAAGTCAAGACTTTGCTTTTCTTTAAATGATTTAATAATAATTCAGCTTTTCTTTGCATGGGTTTATTCACGCTTTGAATGATTTGTTGATCGATCTCGGGATCTGGAGCTGCTGCTGCTGCGGGGGCTGAGGCTAAGGGTGCAGGGGTTTTTTGGGTAGTCGTTGGCTCTCTCGCTTGTTGTAAATAATTCCTATACCGATGAAGTTCTTGACCGTATAAAGCCACTTTTTCTTCTGGGGTTAAATCTTCACGTCTGGTAATCTGGTCCAATTCTTGACCTATACTCAGCGTAGATTGAAATTCCGGAGGTTTGGGGAGTTTTCCTTTGAGTTCATTCAACAGAACTTCAGGTACTAACACCATTTTACGACTCATTTTAGAAGGTTCAAAAGTAAAGGAGCAGCTGCTGAGATTAAAAAAGGAAAAAAACCACCTTTCTGCTTGACTAATAAAGCTCTTCGTCTCTGGACAGATTGAGGTCGAACCAGTCTCCTTAAGATGTGTTTCTTAGGAGCTAGTTTTCGTTTCTGAGCCGAATTGAGAGGTAACACCCCTTTTAATAGGTTGTAGACGATCTCACAAATTTTCAGAATACAATCTCCAGAACAATGTTTTAAAATCCCCGTTTTTAAGGACGAGGAATAGTGAGGGTCCGATAACACTCTTAAAAGAGGGGCATGCGCTCTTAATCGCGTACAACATCCCTTTTTCTTCTTGGCCATCTTTGAAAACAATGAAGAGAAGTCTCTCATGTCACTCCCTTTTATAGTGTCTCTCTCTCTCTCTCTCTTAGGGAGGGGCATACCCTCCGTGTTTGTCACTCTCGTGTTTATCTCTATTTTTCTCCCTGACATAAATTTTTCCACAATATCGGCATTTATATCTCAGACCTTTAGGAAGTTGAGGGGTGGAGGCTGTCAAGGGTTGAAAACGTGTGATTTTAGGGACATGAATGGGAACTTTAATTCCAGGGGAAGAGGAAGAGGGAATGCCCACATTCACTCGAGGAAACACTTCTAAATCGCTAGCTCTTTGACTGCCTATGGGTCCCATAGTACGATCCATTCTCAGTTCTGCTTGTTTCTTGAGTAACTCTCCTATGGTCTTTTGTCTTTGTTCCTTATAATACTGATTGATTTCGTTTTTTAGACTTTCGGGCATGGCTTTACGTTGAGCTAGAGTTTGAGGAGCAGATTTTCGCCTTTTTGCCCCTGTTTTCTTGGGAGGGGCTTTTTTCTTCTTGGGTGGGGCTTTTAACTTCTTTTTTCTACTCTTTTGAGCTGCTCCTCCGACACGGACCATCCAATCTGGAAACACTCTTTGTTTCTTATTATCGACTCTTACCACTACACTCTTTAAACGACGAACCCGTCGTTTTTTAGGACTATTCCATTTGAATAAATGACGAATGATGACTCCACCTAGAAATCCAGCTCCTCCGCGTTTTAAAATAGCTGTTTTTCTGTCTTCGTCACTGGCCGATTGATCGGCAATGATCTTTAAATCTTGACGATGACGATCGATAAACTTTTGAGTCAGTTTATTGATAGGTAAGACCCCTTTCATTAAATTGCGAGCTCCCATGGCAAACCAATTCAATAAGGCTTTACGCCCTAATTCGATTAAATGGGCTCGTTTGGTGGGATCTCGTTCCCGCTGTAAACGTCGTAAGGTTCTCACTAATTTACTCTTGGCTGATGGAGCCATGATGAGAGTGAAATGAATAATGACTCAGAAGAGTGGGAAACACTTTTATTTATACTCTTGAGGCATGTGTATAGTCAACAATTCAAACATTCGACTTCTTAATCGGTATTCGTCTGGGGTCTGGGGACTCAAATCCACGAGAAGATAGCCGTGAGGTACCTGGGTGGCTTCTTGATAAGCAGACATCAAATGAG